GGATGTGCGGGGTGGGCGTAATGATGAGATGACCTGGGAAGTCAAGACCCTGCGACTTAAATGTTTCAGCGGAAGGTAGGGGCCCCTTCGCAGTTGCAAGATATGCCTCCTCGCCGATGCTACAGATCATGTGCGTGGGCAGATTAGGGTTCGACAAGCAAAAGAAACACCTTTCCGGTCCGGGTGGAGGAGAGCGTTCGCGTCGCTGGTGCTTGCGACGCCTGCGGTCGCCCTCGTGATTTCCGTTTGCGAAGCGTGAAAAGCCCGCTTCGTCAGCTGTACGTTTCTGTGCAGCGGCAGCTGGCTTATAAAAGGGCGTGAGGGTGCTTCCCACGGGAGGCGACACGATCGTTTCTCTGTTAAGGGTGAAAGCGTACATCGACTTCGCCCTGGACGTGTTGGCCCATGGAGCGAGTGAAATAAACCGTGTCACGTCCAGTCCCTTGTCCTTATCCTCCTCTCCTCTTGATTCGGGAAAAAATGGCTCGCGCTCAAATGCGAAGTTGTCCGGGGACATGGTGAAATGATAGCGGGGCTTAAGATGGGCGCAAAGGTCGGCGATTGCCTGGCTGGAAGGGATGACATCCGTGGTAAGGTTTTGCTCTCGTGCTTTCGCGCTGTTCTTCCATACATCGGATGGCCACACTGTGGTGAGGAGAATATCGCCATTGTTGGCGCCGCGCAAAGACTTGATGTCACCTTCGGTGTGGAAGGGCAGATACTGTTCCTTGGACTGACCCGCGACGACGGCAGGATCAAGCAATCCACCCAGAGTAACAATCCGAACACCTTCTGAGGTCTTGGTAACGCTCCGCTTGCCCAGGTAATGAAGATTTGGTGCGATCTCCTCATCCTTTTCGATTCGCTCAATGACTTGTACAGGTAATGGGACTGTCCCGACAGTGAAGTAGGTCGGACACGGGATCTGAATTTCGCCGGCTAGAAGGGCAGTGAGCTGATCATCATCTTGGCCTTCACCAAATAAATTACCAGTGACAATTGCGAAGCTAAAAACATTCTTGGCGTGCAACGTCGATAGTTTGCTGAACGCAGACTGGAGCTGACCGTTGATGCTACCGAAAACGAAGCTGATTTGGTCAGTATGAGTGATGTTGTTGAAGTGCAATTGGCTTCGTACTGACATTTTAGCGGCCATGTTGCAAAGTTGAGGACCGATGATGAGGGAGAGAACACGACAGATGTGGTGAACGATGATTTTATATGAAGTGCTGGTTGGAAGGGACGGTGTTCATCTCAAATCGAGAGAGCTAATGAAAATCTTCAAGTTGGATGAAAGGATGAAGAGAAGGCCGGCCGCAGTGTCAAACAGGAAAAAATAGAAGAAAAAAAAGGACGAAGGTGTCGATAGGTACCAGATCAAATTGAGGCGTGTCGACCAATTAAGCTGGGGATGCGGTACGTGTTTTGAGGACGATGCAAGGTCTAGTTGAACAAAGGAACGGACATTGATGTTTTGCAAGAATGGGAACTCTCTTATCGTGGAGTACTATCCTGGCGCCCCGATAGAACGATGTTTTTTGACATCAGACCTCCACGAAGCGCGGATTCGTCCTTCATTCTTCGTAACACTAGCAAAAAAGCCTAGGATTGCGACATAAGTTAATGCTGGGACATCCTCACCTTGTTTTAACTCTCAAAGTGTTAAAAGTTCATCGGAGCCCGAACCGACAAAGTTGCGCTAGGTAGGCCGGGTACCTTCCCATCCGGCCTCGGGACAAGTGGAGCCCCATGAGTTGAACAAGTCCGCTCCGTACCGATGAAGATCCACATTGTCGGGTCCGTCCCGCGCTCTGCCCCGTCTCAACTCCACCCACCCCGATCTCTGGAAACTATACTTCCATCCCATGTAACTCGTCTCTGATCCTTCAGAATCACACTCATTTTCTCGAAAGATGTAAAATATATAGCGCCAGTAAGGAAGTGAAGAATTATCTAGCAATGCGAAAGAAGGAAGCTGCTTGTGTTCTCACTTACGTGTTACACAGCGTGTTACACCTTTAGCCCTAATTTATCATGACTGCACCGAGAGGCACTGCATACCAGTAGATGCTCCCATTGAACAACCTTCAAGCTCTCACACCCATTCTACTACTCTGATTTACATTATTACCTCACATCGAAGTATGACCACCCCGCTATACTCCTAGACTCGCCTAGCCTTTGTCCCCATCGATGCGTACATCCCTCCGTAACTTTTTCGTTCAGAGCTCCTTGTTGGGCACGTCACAATACACCTTAGTTGTGACATCCTATGCTTGGAACCACCTATGGGTCTCCATCAAGTTTCGAGTCTGGCCAAAGCACTAGTACAGTCAACATCAAGGACGGACAATATGTTGTTTTGCTTGATTTGCTTTCGCTGTGGTATTTCCCGTACGAGTTATGATATAGAAGGAAACTTGAAGAACGCTCAGTGTGAGATGCTACTCTAACCGATGCAGAGCAAGGGAGTATCGATGATCACCATCGAACGACAGGTCTAGCTCTATACGTTGCCACAGAGGCTGCAGTGCTGAAAGTCTTGGGGTATAGGAAGAAAGTGTAAGGAAGAAACTCCCAAGAGAAACATGACAGCCGAAAGCAGATATTTTCGTAGGGGTATGTCGTTAGTAGGCAACTTTGTTGGCCATATGTTCAAGTACACCGTTTGTACACCTTGATCGCAACAGCCCACGATCAAGTATTATCCAGGCCCCAGGGTCCCGAGCGCGAGGTCAGACGCTCTCCATTGTGGCAAATCACAGCCGATATCAACGGTGGTGCTCTGTTCATGTCTGGACATGCCATTTCTCGGCTTCAGAAGGTAGCCATGCGCCTAGAATGGCTTCGGTCATTTCCGAGAATGGGCGATGCTCCTATCATGTCCTCCTCATCATCCCGAGAAACCTTGCGGCCCGGCGCGGTTGGCGAAACAGCCTCGAATTTGTCGGACTTGCGTTCACGCTGCCCGAATGCGTAGGTCTGGGCCCTACTAAAGCCCTTACGGGTCTGGCGTAGACGGCCCATTTCTCGCTCGCACGTGCTGACATGTTCGGCGTCATTCATCTCGATATACGCTTGAGGGCAGCAACGTTCCCGGTGATTTTGGAAGAATCCGCTATAGCCTCCGTCCAGAATGTAAACATCGGGGTACGTGAGTTTAGGATAGAATTCGGCGTTGATAGTGCGGTCTTCGGACCGTATGTGGCGGGCCATGATGGGCGCGCGATGGGCCGAATATTCGCAATGAAAAATCAAGAGCGTGCGCCCTTCCATAGGGGTCTCGAACAGATGTCTCGCCAAAAGCTCCTTGTCATTGTAATTGATGGCCCCGTCAATGTGGCCACCTTCATACTCGTACTCGAAGCGGCAGTCAATAATCATCCTGTGCGAGTACTGACTACCATACTTGCCGTCAAGCACCTCGAGCAATGTGTCTCGGCTGATGCGTGGGATAGAATCGTTCTCGCCTGAAGGGAAAAAATGTGGCAATAAAGGCTCCTGAGGTTCGTTGACATCCACGACAGACTTGAGACTAGATGGAAGAGATGTGCGCTCCTTAGGCTTGACAATGTCGCCCGGGCTCTCAAACATGGACAGCGAGCGGCGGAATGTTTTCCTTTGCCGGGCAAAGGGGTTCGAAGGTGTGCGGGCATTGTTGGTGGGAGAACGTTTGCGAACGCTGTTAATGCTGCTGACGCTGCCAAAATGAGTCTTGCAGCGCGCTGCCGCTGCATTAGAGCATGGACTACCCGGCAAGACAGGTGTCCGGCGCTCCTGCGGGGGTGATTCCTCGAAACATTCGCTCAATGACAACGACACCGAAGGGGAGATGGGTACCTTTAGGTTCCGGCCACCGAAGCGGAAGGGCGGCAGCCCCGACCCCGAACCGTTGGAGCGCCCGGGTATACTACTCGTGCTGTAACCTTTGGCCCGGGCCAGAGGTGGACGAGACAAGCCTAGTCTCCTTCGCCTGGCAAAGAGAAGAGGGGATGATTAGCTTCTGCACAGACCAAAGGACGAGGGTAGAGTTCAGGAAGATATGCTGATCAAAAGTTAGGCATGAACTTACTCGGCACCAATTCCCTTGGATTCTTGGGACAGCTGCCGCACAGCAGCAGGTGAGTCTGGTAGTGTGTCTTCATCGCCAGAATCCACTGCAGCCGGAGAAGGACTAGCGGCGAGACGTGACAGGAAAGGTGCCTTAATCGGTACCGGAGACATGTCCAACCTGTTAACTGCAGGTGACGAAGATGCAGGAGGCGGCGGCGTGGTTGCATACCCTACAGATCTGTCAGCGTCTGAGCTTTAAATAAGCTATGTAGCAGATTGTTCGCTCCGTTGATTACTTACCACGACCTTCAACCGCGTTTTCAATACCTGTTGAGGTGAACAGCGCACGCCGTGGTGTCGGAAGTAACGGGCTACTGCAAAGTTCCATTTGGTCAACACTGTCGACAATGCTATCGGTTGTTCGACTTCTAGGTGAGAAGGCTAACCCTGCTTCATTGAGCTTGAAGTTTTCTGACGACCCGGTCACCAGCGAACCCTTAGGCGAAGACCTTCCTGCATGTTTGGTGTTGAACAAGTCCGCATTGGATCGCTTGAAGTTGAAGAGACCTGTTGGTGGCGCCAAGTTGCCATTGCGCGGTCCAAGCACTTCTGGCTGGCTGAAGGACGGCGGAGCAGGCCGAATCGCGGCCAGGGGCGATGAAGCCTCCATATTATCGTGACAACTCTCCAACCAGTTTCGACTTTCCTACGGATTGGCGTTCGGCATAGATCGGTGTTCCAATTGGTCTGTCGTTGGGCCGGGTTCCGTCTGAATATTGAACAAAAGCCAATTTTTGGAGATACGACTGAAGCTTGCGCAGCACTCGAAGAAGGGTCGCCAATCGATGCTGTGGCTGGCTGATTCGCGTTCGTGGAATCGTCGTCACTGTCGTCGAGAGCTGCTATTGTCGGGTTCGCCGTCGCGATGCTATGGACCTGGACACCGAGAGAAAGGTCCGCTCGAGTTGGCGCGCACGGAAGACCAAGGGGACTGGACTGGACTTGGGACTTGAAGATTGTCGCCGAGCAAGATGACAGAAAGACCTTAAGCTAACTAGTGTTGTAAACTGGACGCGCCGACATCGATGTCGATCAAAGCCTAGTCCATATCCGTCAGCCAACAATGCCTTCCCGAAAGTGCAGGCAGGGAACTCGGACCAGTTTTAGAAGCTCTGTGGTCGCCGGGATCAAACAATCTCCGTTTTTCCTTGTTCGAAAACTAAAGTATGGTCGGTTCCGTCTAGTTGTTCAATGCCACGGGCGGTATGCAGCTGTGCAAACCTTTGCGCACGGCAGAACTTCTTTTGAGGTGTTCTTTTAGGTAGGCAGTGGGTTCCGTTGTATTGTGGGTAGACGGGTAGTGATGGCCTGCGGCCTGGGGGCGGGGTGAACGAGGTTTGGCACAAGCGCTCAGCTGCACACGGACAGCCTGGTGGGTGACGGGATGGAGTCTTTTTGAGGACTGCGAATGGGCGACCGCATAGGGTGAACTGGGCTGGCTATGTTGAAAAGCTAGAATAAAGGTCGAAGAGCAGAACGTGCATTCGTTGTTGTAAGAAGGAGGAGCACGTAGGTGTTGTGTGCACGCATGTGTCACGGTCCAATGCTGAGTGAAAGCGAAGAGGGGAGCTGCTGTAAACATCCATCCAGAAGCTGGACGAGAACTCGCAAGTAAACTTGGACCTCGCTCGCTCAAGTGGCTGGTAGGAAGTTGACAAAATCGGATGTCTGCGCTGTTCAATGAGCTGTTCAGTGGTCCCCGAAAATTGGAGGAGCACTCGGCGACGTTCAAGGTCCTGCCTTCAACTGGTTGGCGGAAGGGGCAACGAGGAAGGAGGGTTGCAACGGCGTTGCACCTACGGAAGCCCAACAACGAGAACGACACCAGGCCGAGGCGGTACTGGAGTTGACGCTATCGTGGGTTGGCAGGAGCAATCAGCGCTATCCTCGACATGTTAGAGGAGGGTTTACAGCATTTTAGCGAAAGGTTTACTGCATGTTATTACCCGGTTAGGTTGTTTGTAACCGGTGGTAACTGGACTGGGCTGTTACCCAGCAACCTAGGAAGTTCCATGTGGGTAGTACCTGGAGCGAGCGCTGCGCTCGGGCGCTTTCGGAGACCCCTGGCATGTGTCACTTTAATTCCCGTCGTATGGTCCCGTCTGCTGCACATTGCCCAGAGCTTTCCACTTGGTAGTGACTTCTGTCTTTCATCCCATCCCTCCTTCTTTGTTTTTATCAGTATCATTATGCGGACTTATCATTGCAGTGCATCATTTCATTCTTTCCGTTCACACGAGTTGCTCCCATTGCGCGGGATCGGGCGTCAACTCTGGGGCACATCCACGGGCCTAACCACGCAGTAGAGGTACATAAGCGCTCACTGAAGACTTGCATTCGGTGCGTCTTTGCGCCGAGGTACATGAACTCTGCCTATACCACGCAGTAGTACCAAGTATTCACTATCGCTTTTTATCTTTATCTAAACTGTAAAATGTCACAATTCCGCGGACACTTTGACCTGTCCTCATTATTATTTCTACTTGCATGGTCCATACTTCTTGATTCACTCAGGGTCAGTTACGCACACGGCAGCCCGGGAGGGATGACAGAAGTGTGGCCTTTGAAGGGAATAGGCAAGGGATCGGAACTCGGAAACAATGTCAAAACTTTTGAACACCAAGAACCTGTTCATTGACGATTTGACAAAGAAGTCCTCGGTCTGCACCTTCTCCTAGTATACATCAATGATGCTCCGGAACAGCCACTGGTTCTATCATGTCCTGATGTTGAAATCCAGTGGAAACATCTCGTCACAATAGATTGAGCCATAGGACATGGTTTCGCAGATAAACTAAAACCCAACTCTACTAGAGGTATGTACAGACTCGGTTCAAGTGATGGAGCCTGTGAATGGCTGTTTCGGAAACTAGTCCTTTTGGTGGTGAACCACGGTTGCCTCCCGGCGAGGCCCCACAGCCGTTCTTGCACTTCGGCATACGATCGCTCCCTTTTGTTTTGTTTATGTTGTTGGCCCCTCAATAGTATCTGACACTTTCCGATCAATGTCTCGCCCAGGTTTTCGTTGGCCGTCATTCACTATCTCTTCGTTGTTACAACCTAGCAACGAGCAACAAGACTGATGTCGCGTTGTGTGGCAAGCGGATGTAAACAAACATTGCCCCGGCGACGCGCGGGGTAACGCGGTGTCACATGATGACGGTCCACAGTGTATTCAGGTCACTTCAAAGAAACCATGTTGAGATCGATTGACGCAGTATTTCGCAAATTCTGAAAAACGTTATTAGAAACAAATGGGCCTCCTCATCCAGTCGAATGTGCACGCGTATGGGTGGAGTGGATGTGGTCATCAAGACAAAGACAAGCAGCCTCAGTAAATTGTTCTTTGGTAGGATGTGGATGGTTTGGCGAACATTGCATGATAATGTCATCTTTCTATGCAATTAAGAGAAAGAATCATCCCGCTGGTAAAGCGGTAGAAGCAGGCAGAACAGCAGCGGCCCCACTAAAATTTTCCAGGAGACGGCGATACCTCTAATGGCCGGCAGCTGTTCATACTGGCATCGCATCCACTGACAACCTGAACCCGGCCAGAAAGTTGTCATCGAATTTCAAAACAACACCGACGGCAGACAAAATGGCCAACAAAAGGAAACGCACGCCAAAGGAGGCTGCCAATGACAGTCTCCCTTCTCAGAAAAGATCAAAGAAAGATACGCCAGTGACAAATGGTTCGACAAAAACCAAGGCATCATCAAAAGTCCAGGACAAGCCGGCGCCCTTCACCGAGCACCCCACCGTTGAGGAGCGCAAGAGAGAGCTTGCACTGTATGAGAAGCTCGGCAGCGAAGACCAAAGTGAACGCATTGAGGCTGCCAGCATCATAATTGCTGGTCTTTTGGAAGGCAATGGCGTCGAGGAGCCCGTCCTTTTCCGCCACCTTGCGGGCCGCCTTTTCCGCGGTCTCGCCAGTGGGAGGAACGCATCCCGTCTGGGCTTCAGTCTGGTTTTAACTGAGATTCTGGGTCAGCTGTTTGGAGAAAAATACCTTGCTGGGTCCAAGTACACGGGGCTCACATTCGACAAGGTTCTGGGTATTCTGGTTGAGAAAACCGATGCTGGAGGCAGTGGCAATGGTCAGGAGGAGAGAGATCATTATTTCGGTCAGTTGTTTGGCATCGAATGCTTTGTCCGTGCCGGCATTCTCTTCTCCGATAAGTCGAGGTGGCAGGCTGTTTTGGACCTGGTCCTCAAACTTTCTCAGAAGAAGTCGTGGCTCAAGTCTCAATGCGGCTGGATTATTGTGCAGGCCATCTCCCAGATGGAGGTCGAACTTGTGGAGAAAACGCTGCAGAGACTCGCTGATGAAGGGTTGGCCAAGACGCCTGAAGGTGTTGGTATCTGGATTGCCGCTCTCGATCGCTTCCCAGACATGAAAATGCCCAAACAGCCGTGGCGAAGCCCTCTTGAGGCTGGTTCCCTCACCTCTCTTCCTACTGTCCTGAAGGACAGTGGTAGAGATACGTCCAACGATCAAGCGGGAAACAAGAAACAGAAGCAAGGCAACTGGACTGCTCAGTTGCACTTTGTGTGGAATTTGATTCTTGCCCATTTCCTGAAGCTTGGCGAGAAGGATAAGTCTGATGCCGCTGAGCAGTTCAAGCAGTTTTGGAAGCGGGTCGTTGATGGTAAGTATCACTGCCCATCCTTGAGTGAATCGTGAGCTAACAAGTTTCATCAGAGGGATTCTTCTCCAAAACCTCGTCGGACAGCCAAAAATTCTCTGGGTTCATGATCTTTCAGCGGATGCTCGAAGGCGCAGCCAGCCAGACCTTCATCGTCGAGTCCGTATTTAGCCAGAACCTCATGACTTGTCTCATGAATCAAGCTGCCAAGGAAGACAGGTATCTTCACCGCGCGGCAATCAAAGCGCTTAAGGGAATCGAAGCTATCGTTGACCGCGATCCCTCCCTTCTGCCGACAATTCTTCGCCAGCTTCTTAGCCACAATGGCGTGTACAACTTCGATCAACGGACCAACACCAAGACCGTTGACAAAATCCTGCAACATACCACCCCCGAGAGCATCAAGAAGGTACTCAAGACTCTGCAGCTCAAGGACTTCTCCAAGAGCGGTCTTGATGAGACCAAGTACTACCAGTCACTGAGCAGCTACCTTTTCAGACTCTCTAGCGTGCCATCCGACGAGGAGAACACCTCAAGCGTCTCCGTTCCTGGCTCGGCGATCGAGGTCCTCACGGAATTGGCTTACTCGAACCAGTCAGTCCCAGCAAGCATCAGAGAGGCGCTCCGCACCAAAACCACCTCTGCCTTCGCCAAGCTCGTGAAGAGGCCCGAAGACTTCGGCCACCTTTGCGGCGCCATCCTCTCCATCAAGGTCGACCTGGACCCCGAGGACGAGATTGGCGGAACCGTTCTCGAAGCCTACGAGCGGCTCAAAGACCTGCTCGACCCCGCCAAGGACACCAAGGATACCAAAGCTCCCCGCCAGGCTCTCGCCCTGTTGTATGCCGTCGCTATCCTGCAATTCTACAATGAAGACCCCGACGTCATGAACCTTCTCGAGGAGCTCGAAGAGTGCTACGACAAGCTTGCCGGCGAGGACATTCAGGGCGGCGAGGGTATCGCCGAGTTCCTGGTGGAAATCCTTCTCGCCATGGTTGCTCGCCCGTCTTCGCTCATGCGGCAGGTATCACAGCAGGTTTTCGAGGCCTTCACAAACCTCATGTCGTCCGAAGCCCTCAAGCTTCTGACCGACCCCCTGACAGCCGAAGAGAGCGCCAAGGGCCAGCAAGCGCTCTTCAGCACCGAGGACGAGGACATGGCCGACGCCGAAGGCTCGGACGACGAGCTCGACCACGATCACGGAAGCGACGACGACGCGGAAGAACTCGATTCCGATGTGGAAATCGTCAACCTCGAAGAAGCCGGTTCCAACGACGAACCCAGCGATAACGACTCCGACTCTGACAACGACGACGATGAGGACAACGACAACACCTCAGAACCTGAAAACGAAAACCAAGAAGCCCTCGACGCCTTGGACACCGCCTTAGCCGAAGCTCTCGGCAGCCACCGCCTCGACAAAGACGCCGACGCTACGGACTCTGGTGACGAGTCCGACATGTCCGACAGCGAAATGATGGAAGTCGACGCCAAGCTAGCCGAGATTTTCAAGCACCGGGCCAAGGCAGCCAATACCAACAAGAAGAAGGAGAAGAAAGACGCCAAGGAAACGGTGATCAACTTTAAGCACCGCGTCCTCGACCTGCTTGCCATCTTTGTCAAGAAGGAAGCAGCCATCGCGAACCCGCTCGCTTTTGAGGTTTTGCTCCCCCTGCTGGAGCTAATCCGCACGACCACCACCAAACCACTCGCCAATAAAGCGTGCGAGATGATTAATCAATTCTCCAAGGCACTCAAGAAGGCCAAGAGCAGCTTTACCACTGAAATCAGCGACGAGCAGGTCGAGGAGCTGGTGGCGAAGTTGCAGGAGGTGCACTCGGAGGCGCCCAAGGATGGGTCGCATGCGTTTGCCAAGGCGGCATCAACGGCGAGCTTGGCGATCGCGTCGGTGTTGGTAGCGAGGGAGAAGACGGAAAAAGTGTTTGAGTTGTATGCGGATTCGCAGCTGAAGTGGTTCAAGGGCGATGTCAAGATCCAACCGGCCTTCTTCTCGGATTGGCTTAACTGGTGCCAGAGCCATGCTAGTGCTAGTGCTAATGCTGCGGCGATGCAGGAGTAGAGCTAAATAGGTGGTGTTGAGAGTTTGACAGGTGAAATGGAGGGAAGTGATACTATCAGTATTTGATGATGGCGCAAAAAGCACTGGCGGTATCATAGAAGTGCCAATGAACCCTTGCTTGCTAGTTCCTACTCTTGATCAACATTT